GGCCATCCGGAGAGGAGGAAATTTGCTCTTCCCCTCTGGAGGGCGGGGCCCATATTCCAACGGTACTTTTCAGTGCCACCAAAAATTCTGTAAAAGAGCACTTTTCCCCTTCCCCGGATGTCACAGCTCAAGCCCTACCAGTCTGGTACGCGCCACCTCTCAGCTCGGTCTCCCTTCTCCCAGCCCCCAAGCCCCCTCTCCGGAGTCAGGGTGCGGAGCCAGAGCGAATCGCTCTCCTCCAGCTCTTCTGTGGGACCCTCGCGCTCCCTGGATCAGCACATCCGCTCCGCAATGCCCCACCGCTGGTACGTCAGCGATTGTTGCAATGACGCCATTAGCGAGGGCTCTGCCTGCCTGGTTAGCGCGGGCCAGCCCCTCACGGTGGCTCATACGCACGATCAGACTCGGCTACGAGCTTCAGTTCCCGTAACGGCCTCCCAAGTTCACGGGCATGTATTTAATCAGGGTCAATCCCCTGTCTGCCCCTGTCTTGCGAGAGGAGATTGCTGCCCTCCTGGCGAAGGGTGCAATCGGGCCAGTTCCTCCAGCCGATGCGTTCGTCCTCAGGATTGGTTTGCAGCTATAGACCTGAAGGACGTGTATTTTCATGTCTCCATTCATCCGCGCCACCGTCAGCTTCTGCGGTTTGCGTTCGAGGGTCATGCATGGCAATACAAGGTCCTCTCCTTTGGGCTCTCTCTGTCTCCGCGGGTCTTCACCAAACTCTTCGGCTCGCGGGCATCAGTGTACTCAATTATCTCGATGACTGGCTGATTTTAGCCCACTCGCGGGAGCAATTGACTATGCACAGAGACTAGGTGCTCCTGCATCTTCGCCTATTGGGGTTGCAGGTCAACTGGGAAAAGAGCAAACTCGCCCCGGTGCAGAGGATCTCTTTTCTCGGGATAGAGCTGGACTCGGTCACCATGGTAGCGCGCCTCTCTGGAGAGCGCGCTCGCCTGTTGCTGAACTGTCTGAGGGAGCTCGACAGCAAAGTAGTGCTCCCACTGAAATACTTTCAGAGGCTCCTGGGGCACTTGGCATCCGCTGCGGCTGTCACGCCGCTCGGACTGCTCCATATGAGATCACTTCAGCACTGGCTTCTAGATCGAGTTCCAAGACGCGCATGGCATGCGGGTGCACACAGAGTCTCTGTTACTGCGCTGTGTCGCTGCACCCTCAGCCCCTGGAACGACCCCTCGTTCCTGCAGGTCGGTGTGCCTCTGAGACAGGTGTCCAGTCATGTTGTTTTCTAAACAGATGCTTCCAACACGGGCTGGGGAACCATGTGTTGCGGGCATGCAGCTCCGGGCCTGTGGAAAGGTGCCCAGCTGCATTGGTGTATCAATCGCCTAGAGCTGTTGGCAGTGTTCCTCACTCTCCACCGTTTTTCTCCGGTGTTGGAGCAGCAACACGTGCTGGTCAGGACGGACAGTACGGCGGCGGCAGCGTATATCAACCACATGGGGGGTACGCGCTCTCGCCGCATGTCTCAGCTTGCCCGCCGTCTGCTCCTCAGGAGTCATCCACGGCTGAAATCGCTGCGCGGCATTCACATCCCAGGTATGCTCAACCGTGCAGCCGATGCGCTCTCACAGCAGCAGATTCACTCTGGAGAATGGAGACTCCACCCCGAGTCTGTTCAGCTGATATGGGCGCGATTCGGGGAGGCCTAGATCGATCTGTTTGCCTCCCCCGAGAACGCTCATTGCCAGTTGTTCTATTCCCTGACTGAGGGCACTCTCAGCACGGATGCACTAGCCCACAGCTGGCCTCAGGGCACACGCAAGTATGCGTTTCCCCTAGTGAGCCTAATCGTACAGCTACTGTGCAAGGTCAGGGAGGATGAGGAGCAGGTTCTGCTAGTTGCGCCACTCTGGCCCAACCGGACCTGGATGTCAGAGCTCTCCCTCCTCGCAACGGCCCATCTGGCACCCTCGCCCCAATCTCTGGAACCTCCCTGTGTGGTCCCTAGATGCGAGGAAGACTTAGGTAACCTGCCGTCTACGGTGGTTGATACCATCACTCAGGCTAAAGCCCCCTCCACAAGGCGCGCCTACGCCCTGAAGTGGAGTCTATTCACTAAATGGTGTGTCTCTCGCAAAGAAGACCCACAAACTTACCAGATCAGTGTTGTGCTCTCTTTCCTTCAAGAGAAGCTGGATAGCAGGCTGTCGCCCTCCACTCTCAAGGTTTACGTTGCCGCCATCTCCGCTCACCACGATGCGGTGGCTGGTGGCACCGTGGGAAAGCATAACCTCATCATCCGGTTCCTCAGAGGTGCTAGGCGAATTAATCCAATTCGCCCCCCTCTCATGCCCTCTTGGGATCTCGCCCTCGTTCTCACGAGCCTGCGTTCAGATCCCTTCGAGCCACTCGATTCAGTATCCTTAAGATTTCTGTGCTTAAAGACAGCTCTGCTGGTCGCGTTGGCCTCCATTAAGAGGGTCGGGGACCTGGAGGCATTTTCGATCAGTGACTCGTGCCTGGAATTCGGGCCGGATTTTTCTCACGGTATGCTGAGACCCCGCCCGGGTTATGTGCCCAAGGTTCCTACCACTCCCTTTAGAGATCAGTTAGTAACCCTGCAAGCACTGCCCCCGGAGGAGGCAGACCCAGCCCTTTCTTTACTCTGTCCAGTTCGCGCCCTGTGCATTTATGTGGACCGTACTCAGTACTTTAGATCCTCTTAGCAGCAGGGAAGTGCCGTGTCCAAACAAAGATTATCCCACTGGATTGTGGAGGCCATTTCATGTGCTTATTTGAGCAGAGGTCAGCCGTGTCCCCCGGGAGTGCGTGCGTGCGCACTCCACTCGGAGTGTTGCATCCTCTTGGGCATGTGCATAAGACATTAACAGACATTTGTAGAGCTGCAGGCTGGGCGACACCCAAAACATTTGCAAGGTTTTACAATCTGCGAGTGGAGCCGGTTTCCTCAAGGGTATTAGGTAACCCTTGGTGATTGAGGAAACAACTCGGTGGGGTGTTGTAACACACTTGCGGTGCCTTTTTTCCTAACACGGAGAGATGTGCACCTTCCTGTCTGTCAGTAAAGTTCCCCGTTTGGTGAGCCCTGCAGATTCCTCCGAGGCCCCCAGCACTGACTCAGCAGAGGAGTGACTTGCTGGCCCATTACGTTGTAGGTCTGCCCGTTGGTCAGCCTGCGTTTTTGGGTATAGGTGCCGGCTATGTGCAATCCCGTCTGGCGATCCCATATGCTTATTCTGCCACGGTTAAGTCCCACCCCGGGTGGACCCGTGTCTTCCCTATCCCTATCCACCTAACCACCTTCTTATGCGCACTCCCCCTCCTTGGGATTAGTCCATATGTAATTCCATTTTGTCTCCCTTATTGGGTGCAGATGGTCTCCGCAGCGTCCTCCCTACCGGGATTGCACGCTTCCCAACGTACTGTCGTATTTTCCTAGAATTATCTAGACACTAGCAACTTCCCAAAAAAAATATACCTATTCCGTGATGCTTCTTTTGAAGTGGGGATAAGTTAGGGCCAGGGACACGTTGGAGGACCGCGCCTTCCATGATTTGGGTACGTCACGCTTGCCTGACTGCCTTCTCATCGGAGGCGTTGGTAAGGTGCAGTCATTATGGCGTTTTCAATGGCTCCCATACGTGGATTTTAACATCAAATCCACTTATAGCACTGGAGTTCCCCAATAGAAGGGGAACGTTCGAGGTTACAGAAGTAACCCTTCATTCCCCGAGGAGGGGAACGGAAGTGCTATACTCCGTCGCCATAATGACTGTCCCTTAGCTGTTTAAAAGTTTCTTCAGCTTAAAAAGGGTGGCGTTTGCTGGCGCCAGGTGTGCTGCGCAAGCTTACGCTGCCAATTCATTGTTTACATTGGCCCGTTCAATACTCTTTCAGACGAGCGGCTTCTGAACCGAAACCTCCCATACGTGGATTTTAACATCAAATCCACTTATAGCACTTCTGTTCCCCTCCTCGGGGAATGAAGGGTTACTTTTGTAACCTCGAACGTTCTCACACTATAACCATGGACTACACTTCCTGCCTTTCCCAGGACTACATATTCATACATGCACTTCGCCCAGACACTTATGCTAATTCATCTAGCTTGATTATACTCACCACCTGAACCTTGTCAGAGACTGATACACTCCCTACATAAGCCACACATTTACCCATCCAGTTTGCCGAGTCTTGTTTGCTTTCAAGTGACATTACAACACGTTTCTCCCTGTCTTGTTTCTCTGTGTTAGACCCTAGCCTTGTTTACCTTGTTCTCCTGTTTAGCCGCCTGCCTTATGACCCATTGCCTGTTATACTGACTACGATTCTGGACTGCCTGAAAATACCCGTTTGCACCTGTTTGATCATTGCTTGCCTGACGCTGAATAAACCTGCATTGTGGATCTTACCTCCAGTTGTCTCTGTCACTCCACCCCGTCATTACAGTCCTCTATGCTTCAGTTGACAGTATGTACAATTTAAACTACAATTTAAATTACAGCATTTAAATTGAAACTTTTTATTTCAGTTAGCTTTTTTTGTAGCTTAACAATAAAACAAGCAAATAAAATGTTGTGTTGTATTTGAAATGGCAATCTCTAGTTTAGACCCTAGTTTGGGCATCTCTGGTGTAATTGTTACCACAGCGCCATTATTATACGCCCTTAAACATCACTGGCTAGATCAGTGATTCGAACACAGCAACAGCAATCAAAGCAAAGCCAACATTAAAGAGACCCCAGGTAAAGCAATCACACTTTAAAAAAGGGATAGTTAACTCAAAAATAAATCTCCCCTTAATGAGCTTAACAATAAAACAAACAAATAAAAATGTTATTTCGGATAACTTGGCATCATTTCTTCACAGGTTTTGGATCACATCAATGGCGCTGCATAATCTCTGGGGGCCTTGGGATGAGTAGTAGAAAGAACAAGAACGTGATTAGGAAAGCTGGTAAAAAAATGTGGTGAATGTTGTAAGTTTTCAAGAAGGGACCTCACAGTGACTATGTGGTTTTCTTTTGTGTGCAATTCTTTAGTATCGTTAAGATGATAAAAGTAATTTTGTAATACAGGGTGTGACGGCAACGAAAGTTCAATGTGTTATGTGCAAAAAACAAGAAGCTTCACTGCTTATCTCTCCTTACCTGCAACAGCTATTTTATCACGTTTTTGCTAAGTCACAAGAACTACTGTAGTTACAACATTAGCAAGGGTCAAACTGAACGTATTTCCAAAAAAGGAATTCATGCTAGAACTGAGAAACCCTGTATTCAGAAGAGTATATATAGCGAAGTCTCCGAGTAATTTCTTTCATAACCTATGATCTGACCCTGAACACTTACTCCAATCAAACCCTAAGAAGCCGAACCTCTCTACAGCTGTCCAGACACCACCCAGGGTTGCTGAAAAGCTGACCTCACTCTAAATTAATAGGTAAGAACAAATTATTTTATGGTATGGTTTGATTTCTAAGAGGGTCTTAATTTGTACCAAAAAGGATCTTTTGAGAGATTTCGCAGATTAGTTCATTGTTAAAGCATGACAGTGATCTTTCTATTCCACGGGCTGAATTTGTTTGTTACCTTGTTCAATTATGTTCCAACTTCATAATTATTTAAAGTCAAAGACAAAGTGGCCAATTAAAACAAACACTACTTACCATATTGGTGATTTCAAAGTAATTTCAATGAATACATTTTTGGTTGCTGGGACTTTCTGACATTTTACAATGTGAATATACAGTTGAAGTCAGAATTATTAGCCCCCTTTGAATTTTTTTCTTCGTTTATAATTATTTACATTTTTTTCCCGTTAGTCTACAGAACAAACCATCATTATACAATCACTTGCCTAATTACCCTAACCTGCCCAGTTACCGTAATTAACCTAGTTAAGCCTTTAAATGTCACTTTAAGCTGTATAGAAGTGTCTTAAAGAATATCTAGTCTAATATTATTTACTGTCCTCATGACAAAGATAAAATAAATCAGTTATTAGAAATGAGTTATTAAAACTAATATCATTAAAAATGTGTTGAAAGAAATCTGCTCTCCGTTAAACAGAAATTGGGGAGAAAATAAGCAAGCAGTCTAATAATTCAAGGGGGCTAATAATTCTGACTTCAACTGTATGCTTTTTACATTGCATTCTTTGTGCTTCATGTTTTGCATCTGCATTTGTTCCCCGCTGTCATCCCTTAAGTAGAGCAACTGCTCTTATAAAACTGTCCAACAAAGATGGTGTGAAACTGACAATAAATAGCTTTAAACACTTTGTTCTCAAACTAAGTTACGTTTATTTATAAACTAATTTTGAGAGGATCACATGCTTATGATTGCTTGCAGCCGGTCCCGCATTAATCAATGTATGATTCACCAATCAGACGATTCCTAACCCACCATAAATACCCTAAGTTCTATATAACAGCCATCTTCGTCTTGAATAATCCCCGCTTCCACCGCTACTCATCCTTTCCTAGATGGGTGACATGGGGCCTGTTTCAGTCAGGAGGTTCAACCAACTCGAGTTTAAACTTGAACTCTTGATTTACCGAGAAATTATAAACTCAAGAGTTTTCGGTTTCAGAACAGCAGATCTGAGTTAGGTCAATCAACTTTGAGTAGACCAACTCAGAGTTAAGCATGTGCACCATGACTATAAAAAGGCATCATCAATAGAGCGCAGAAATTACGAGTGACTATGGAAACATCTTTAAAAAAAGAGATCATCATTTCTTTCTCCAGCTGAATTTGATCTGCTCATGCATAGTTATAGAAAATATGACCATATATTTTGAAAAGCAACATCAGTGAAACAGAGACAGTTAGCATGCGAAAACAGCTGCTCAAGTTAATGCATACTTTTACATTTAAAGTATTTAAATATTTAAGTATAATAAAATTAAGTAATGTTATGTGACATTTATAAAATCTTTACACACGTTCCCACTTTTATACACGTTGATCAGTTTTATTTAGATTTAAAAGTGCACTTTTGTGTCTGCCTCTTATTTATCAAGTGATAGAGGTTGATATGACACTTAGAATGTAAGCAGAACTAAACAATAGTTTTAAAATGGAATAATGATCCCATCAATCTAGGCTACTTGTCCCTGCTGAAGGTCAGTGAATTTAAGCTTTATTTATTTTTTAATTAATTTAAAAAAAAAAAAAAANTNGANNTNNANTNNNGGGGTTGGGGGGGGGGGGTTGAAGCCATTGACAAGCTCCAGACACTCTGGAGGTCATTAATAATATAATACCATTTGTAACAACTACTTTTTTTTTGAAGCTACATTAAAGAAATTGAGAGACCACAAAACAACTTTCAGAGATTCATGTGTATTTAGAATAAATGTATATGACAACAGTTATGAATAATTATTGTTACACACTGGGGATATGAAATGATCAGCAGTCAACTCATTAATGATCACTTGATAAGTGTCTTTCTCATTGAATCCAGTATTTATAGCAAGCAAAAAAGATACCAAAAGTCCTAAAGTGAATCGCATGAAAGATCAGTTTCAGCAAACAGTTCATCAATGGTTGGCCACGGAATCAGTAGGAAAGTGGATGAAAAAGTCTGCAGATAAGAGGATGTATTGTCCAGGTCCTGTTTTGATGTCTTAAAGTGTATACCAAAAACCCTCTGCATATAAACAAACATACAATCAAAACCTTGCCAACACCACACAAAACATATGTACAAAACCGAAATATATAAAAAAAAACAGGCCTACTTACATCTGAGGTATAAGAACAAAAATGTTCCTCAAATAAGGGCATCAACAAACAACAGCGCAGCGAAGAAGCCTTTCCATGCGCTAGGCACAATACTTCCTGCCTACTGCTTCTTCTCTACCTCCTTTTAAGCAGATTGGAGACTTACTACCTAGATCGCCCTCTTACGGGTGAGATAGCTACTACAGGTAGAATTTTCAAATAGTAACAGGAAAACTGTTACACATTAATACTGAAACTTTTTAATTTTTTTTAATTTTTTTTTAAATGAATGAACATAACTTTTAAGATGTGTTATAGTGTGCTCAGCCTGCTGGTTTGTGCATTCACACACATTTCCATCATCATATAGCAAACGTTTTTTTTAATGCACAAACTGTAATTTGTTCAGTAAAAGTGTTTCCATCGTAGTTTATGCACATCTTTTCTAGCGAATAAAAGTTTATCCTACTCAGTTATGCGTAGGTTTTTTATGTGTATTTTCCAAAGTTATGTGCATCATAACGTTTCCATCAATCATTTTTATGCGCATATCCAAAATGAGCATTAAAATCGGTGGATGGAAACATAAGGCTAAGGCGAAAAATACCGCTTCGTCTTTCAAAAAGGGGAGGAGACCGACAGAAACTCTGATTTTAGAGAATAAAACCTGCTCCTAACCAGGTTAGGTTTACAGAGTAAGTTACCACAGTAACTCACTCAGAGTTAAAGTTACCTCTCGTTCAGAAACAGGTTTGACTTACCCTGCTTTCTAGAGTTTAACAAACCTGCCATTTTGAAACGGAAAACCGAGAGTTTCTCTCATTTCAGGGTTAAAATACTCTGAGTTTTCACTTAACCTCCTTTCTGAAACAGGCCCATGGTGGCCCAGTGGTTAGCACTGTTGTCTCAAAACAAGATCATCACTGGTTTTGGTTCTCATCAAGCCAGTTGACATTTCGGCGTGGAGTTTACACATTCTCCCCAAGCTCATGTGGGTTTCCCCTGGGTTCCCTGGTTTCCACGCACCGCCCAAAAATATGCAACCTAAGTTAATTAACTAATCCAAATCAGCACCATAGACATGCTCCTAGTAAGTAGATATCTCTTAAGAGCAATCACTATCTGTTCATTAGCTACTACACAGGGGAGTTCCCGAGTCCTAACTGAGCTCAAACTCGCCTCTCCCCTTGCAAACGAGAGGAAGCCCCCGGCTCGAGAATCTTATGAGCTCAGGGCTCTCTCCTGGGACAGCATGCCAAACAAGCTTTATAATCAATCATCAGCTAAGTGTGAACTCTTGAAATAATTATGGGTAGAACACTGGAAATCTGGCAACTCAACATACATTTCACCTAATAAAGGAGGTAATAAATATCCCATAATTTCAATATTTCATTTTCAAAAACTAAGTATTTTGCCCATGTATGGCTGACAATCAGATGTAACGATATTACTCTAGGTATTTACTTTCCAATTCACATTAAGATAGTCTTTTGACGTACATAAAATATAAGAAATATCAATAAAATATTAATTTTCATTGTGGAATTTAGAGCTCATCTGAAATAACTTCCTTATTGTAATGTTTAAAGTTGTTCACTAAAAAGAGCTAGAAAATATGAGATTGTTTTTACAGCATGATGCCTTTATTCACTTCACTCTCCTCTTGACAGAAGAAATGGAGCGTCTGAACGTCTCTCTTCTTTTGCTCCTCGTCTTCTGTTCATCGAGTGCTGGGAAAACTTTCTGGACTTATCTAGGAACCCGTTGTATTGAAGACTGCAATGTCTACTGGGGCGATTACAAGTGCAAGACTATTGATAAAGATGGACAGTGCCAGACCATGTATTGTTCACCTAAAACAGGCGTAGACTACCACGGCAGGCAGTGCAGTGAAAGGTGTGAGAAAACTGGAAACGACTACTATTCATGCAAAATTGGTTTATTTCAATTTGGATACTGTGGACTCGTGTCGAACAGCCTGATCCATTATGGATCATACACAGGCGCACAGTGTTTTGATTACTGTGAACAGAGAGGTCAGTACTACTATTGGTGCCATACTGAAGAGGGATGGGATTACTGTTCACCTAATAATAACACAGATTACATGAACAATCAGTGTAAAGAAGACAGCCCATGTGAAAAGCGCACTAATGACTACAAGTGGTGTGCAGTGGCGGGTGGTTGGGGTTACTGTGGGCTCGTAGAGCCAAAGATGTTCCTCCACAGATCTAAGTATAATTACGTTTGCATTGACAGATGTCAGTATAGCCAGAAAAATGATTACTACTGGTGCCACATTGAAAATAACTGGGACTACTGCTCTCCAGAGGTGGATGTAACTTATAAAGGCACACCATGTCGCTCAGATCACTCCTGTGGCTTACATGGCTATGGTTACAACTGGTGCTGGACCTCAGATAAAGATTATGATTACTGTGGGCCGATTGAACCTGAAGAGTGCACTTACATTGACTCCAAACATCGCAGCAAGAGAGCCGACGCAAATAATCCCCAGAGAATTGTGATATGCACACAAGTGGACAGAGGAAACAGGATAAGTACCACCTTTTCTGCTGTGCCAGCACCTAATGCAATCACTGATGGAAGTCAATTTAGAGAAGAGATCGAAAACTTAATCAGCTTCTGGGACAATGGCAATCTGGTGGAGCATGCATCGTCCAATCTGATGCACTCCGCTAACGTCCGTATTGATATGCAGGGAATCATAATCCGCAACAACCAGAGATACTACAACCTGCAAGTCCAGCTGAATCGGCCACGGAGGCCTGGTGAAAGCACCACCGTGTCTCAGGCCATCGTGCCTCAAGGAGTCCCAGCCCGTTACATTCGCAGAGCCTTTATTGAAAGCTTCAGGAGACGAGCTCGGGTTTCTATTGAAGTTACAAGACTAAATCAGTGCTAGGTTCATAAGTTGAAAACATTTGCAATACAGTAACCTATGGTAGACAGGGTACACCTTTAGCTACATTTAGCTTGTAACACACCTCTAATAAAGACAACAAAATCTATTACATAGACTGCATGCATACCAGTATAATTCTGACTTTACTAAAACAAGTTTTGCTTAGATTTGCTTCCCTGATTTCCAGCATTCATTGACCTTGCTAGATGCCAAACCGTTCCAGACGGACTGAAACTCTCCAAAAGCTGTTTGTCCACATTGAGTAAAACAAAGAAGTTTTTTTTACACAGATCATGGAATTAATTAAACTTGCTTATTTGTGAAAAACAAGAAGCTTGACCGCTTAACTTTCCTGTTAACTGCAACAGCTATTTCACCAGCATGGACCACACCACACTTTGAGCTAGACTTTACTGTAGGGATGAAAGGGATGGTAGGAGAACAGTGGGATGAAGGGAAAGGGGGGTATAAGGATGGATGACTGGTGAACAAGTGGGTTGATTGGGCATCCTAGGATGATGCCCAGAGACTCAGAGTGATTGAACCCCCCGATACAACCTGTATGTAAGAGTGAATAGGGTTAAAGGATTGTGAATGGGAAGCGAGGAAATGGAGGAGGGAGGGTGGGGTCGAAAGAACAAGAAGAACTGTGTTAGGGACTGTTTTCCTTAAATAAGTTTAAGGGAGTAGGTGATTGGTTAAGGAGACAAAGTGAGGCTTGGTTCCACAGCTGAACCTAAAAAGTTAACTCCATTTATGTATGTTTTTGCTGTATGAATTTCTAATAAAACTTTTAATTAAAGCTGTGTTTAGTGTCCTGTCTGTGTGACTTTGGTTTCATAGCACTGACCCAAACGCTATGAAGGGCTGTGAGAATTTATTTATGCCTCACATCCCTTCCAGTTTCCCAACCACACTGGACCCTTTCCAGTTTGCATAGTATGCAATATCCATCACTCTCCATCCAGCTCTTATTCATCTAGAACAGAAAGACTCTTAGATAAAAACGCTGTTCCTTTACTTCATCTCAGCTCATTTACTCATGCCACAGCCATATCACCCTGCAGCCCAAGACTGATTACTCACTGAAGCAAAGCAGGGCTGAGCCTGGTCAGTACCTGGATGGGAGACCACATGGGAAAACTAGGTTGCTGTTGGAAGTGGTGTTAGAGAAGTCTGTGTGAGTCCTAATGCCCCAGTAAAGTAAAGCGGAAACCATACTGTCAGTGGGCGCCGTCTTTCGGATGAGACATTAAACTGGTGTCCTGACTCTTTGTGATCATTAAAAATCCCATGGCACATCTTGTAAAGAGTAGAAGTGTAACCCTGGTGTCCTGGTCAAAGTCCCTCCATTAGCCCATACCTATCATCAGGCACGTGCACACATAGGGCTCAACCCTTATTAGTCTTGGATAAAAAGTGCCCTTCCAAAATGATCAAATGACTCTACACCCCCCTAATCAAAAAAATTCATCCTGCACATGCCTTTTTGACGGTCTCTGCACGGGCCTGCCTATCATGGCCTACCAATCATCCCCATGATTGGCTCTATCACTGTCTCTTCACTTCCCGAATAGCTGGTGTGTGGTGAGCGGATAGCTTCATTGTCCATTGGCTGGTTGTAGCTGGTTGACCAGCCTGGTTTTAGAAGGGTTTTGGCGATTTCCAGGCTGGTTTCCAGCCATTTCCAGCAGCTAAATCCAGCTTGACCAGCCTGGTTTAAGCTGGACACAACTAGTTTTGGCTGGGTTCCCAGCCTGGCTACGCTGGTCAAGCTGGTTTTAGCTGGTCATCTTCCAGTCTGGAAGACCAGGCTGGAAATGACTGGAAACCAGCATGGAAATGGCCAAAACCCCTCTAAAACCTTGTTGGTCAACCAGCTAAAACCAGCCAACCAGCCTAGGCTGGTTTAAGCTGTTTTTTCAGTAGGGTACTGCTGTTTTAGCTTTTTACCATTTTTTTTTAAATACCATAACACAAGATTTGCTTCCCTGATTTCCAGCTTTTGCTGGCTCTGCATGATGGCGAACCATTCCAGATTTACTATTATATTTTGACTGCAGGTTGGTCCACATGAAGGCAAATCAGCAGTTTTATAATTCAGGTCATGGAATGGATTTTACTGGTGTGTGTTACTGGTTAAAAACAAGAATCTCATCAAGACTGCTTATCTCTCCTGTGTTAACTGCAACGGCTACGTATGTCCAAAAAAAGCATTCATGCTAGAACTGAGACGCTGTGTTTAGTAGTGTATGTATAGCAAATCCTTTGTTAGATCAAGCCTTGTGATGAAGACTTCTTGCTGTTGTCTTTGATTGCTTATTTTGAACTTGTTCACTAAAGTGAAGCCATTTTATATGGTGATGCGTTAAAACTCTTTAAACAAGTCTCAGTAATTCCTTTTTTAACCAGTTAAACTCTGCGGAACCATTTCCGGGTCTGTGACGTCATCGACGTTCGCTTTAGGATTTAAAGGGCTAGCAGTGCACCAGACCCCCGTAAGTGGTTTCGTTTGAAAGTGTAGAATCTATATTTTATGCACATATGCATCACTTTGGTTTTTATTCTACTGTACAAAAGTTATTACTCTTAAATACACAGTATTTTGGATATCCGAGCTGGGTATTTTACATTAGTTCATTTTCATAGTTTTCATATGGTTCATATGTGACACATGCACAATATAGATCAAATGAAAGCTCTTGCCGGTGCTCATACGGTTCTAGCTTTCTTTTTACTGAATTATATTCACATATCAAACAGTTGTCAAATGAATCGCGGTGTTTCCGTGACGCAGAAGTGAAAACAATACATTTATGATCAATAAGCAGCCCCAGATAGCACAGACAGCGGTCATCTCTTACTTTACGCTGTGTCCTTTAGAGCCATTCTCCTCTGTTTTTGAGGTGATGTGCATAAGTAATCCTTTTATATGTCTGACGTGGTCCAAACACAGTGAATTATGTTTGATCAAACAAAAGAATAGTGAATAATATGAAAACAATAATCGCTCCCTGTGGCTTGTACAGCACCTCTCATCAGTTGGAATACAATAACTTTTGCACAGATTATGGTAGAGACATTTTTCTTTTTTCCTATGATTACAGACATGTGCAGGAACCACCAAAATTATTTACAGCACCCTAGACCTGTTTCCAGGGTCAGCTTTGCATGCCAAAATGGGAAATATCACAAATATTTATGTGATTTTGGAGGCTCTGGGCCCTATCATACACCCGGCGCAATGTGGCGCATGAGATGCAAAGCAGTACGCAAATATCTTTACATATGAAAAAGAATTAAAATATTCAGGGTATATATAGGATATAATGAGGATGTATATAGAATATAAATATAAAGGATTAAAATATTACAAAACATTATTTTATAGCCTACATAAATATAAAAACCACTGCCTTCATGCCTTCTTCATCTCGGGAGGCTTTTTCAGTTCATTCTTGACAATTTGCTTTTGTATGATGTTATTATTATTAGCAGTATTATTTATTATATCCATATTTATATGTTTTATTAAAAACAAGCTTAGATTTGCCCACCTGTCAGGTTTTAGACCATATGGGGCACAGCATGTGTTTTAGGATATAACTCAGGTTTTTAAGCACACTTGGTTATTATTGTTCATTTATTCGTTTGCTGGAAATTAGTTCAGTTTTTAGTGTTTAAGTTCAGTTTAGCTCAGTTCAGTGTGGTTTAAAATCATTACTGAGAGTCCAAGCACTGAAGAGGAAATTCATCAATGTGTAGCTCTACAGATCCTGAAACATGCAAGCCAGTGGCGACAGCGGAGAGGGAAAAAAAACTTCACCTGATAGGAGTGAAGAAAAAAAAACCTTGAGAGAACCAGACTCAGTTCAGCACGACCATTTTAATGTCTCAGCTGGCCAAAAGTCTTGTGTAGAGCTGCAGTCTCAGCGAAGACTCGTCTGTCCCTGGAGCGTCACTTGAATCAGTCTCATGCTCTCCACTCCCCCATGACCACCAGCGCAGCAGCAGCAGCTCAGGATACAGCCTGGTCTCGGATATGGACACCTTGGGATCATCTCGTCGCTGGTCTTGAATCCAATCAGTGACTGCCCATAATCTGAGGAGTCCCTGATTGGATCCAATCAAACTTTTGCTATTTTAAAGATGGAAAAATCCGCTTAGCGCTGTGGCGTATGGTCTAAAAGGGTTGAGTTTATTTTCTTAATAAGTTATTGGTTTATTCTCAAAACACACCTATAACTCATTAAGAAAATAAACTCAACCCTTTTAGACCATGCGCCACAGTGCTAAGTGGATTTTTCTGTCCCTAAAATAGCAAAAGTGGATTCTGACACGCCCTGAATTCATTTGCACCTTGCGATTTGCACTTTGCGCATGGACCGTCAAAATAAAGCCCTGTGTCTGTGAGGGACAGGAGCCATTCTAGAGCGCCCCTGCTGAGCTTTCTGTACAATAATGTCTATAAAACTGGAAATCAAACCTTGCTCTAAGCAAGTTATTTTGATCAAAATAATCCACAATATCTGACTACTTCAGAAACATAGACATCAAGAATAAGCATCTCAACAATGGCAACACAGTGTGCTTGATCCTGCAGTGCATGCTGGAGGAATCAAATCATTCAAAACTCATCTAGGACTCCTACCATGCACTTAAGCAGGAAATGTTGAGATTCATATGTAGATTCTTGATGTTTTGAGTCAATCTGATGTTCATTGTGTTTTCATAACCTGACCAAAGAACTGCTGGTTCTCATTCCATACAGTGTTATTCAGGGGTGACCAAACGTGTTCATATGAAGGGCCAGAAACCAAATATCATTAAGAGCCGTGGGCCGAAGATAAACTTACCAATTTGTTTTACATTAAAGTTGTCATGGGTCATTTCCTAATTTATTTAACAATATTTAAAAACAGATAGAAAACATCCCTTTGAATCTTATTGCAATAAGCATTTGCATTAGTAATCGCATGATTTACTCACCAAAGTCTCAGCATTGTCCTCTATGCCTCGGTTGACATTTATTTCAGTTAGCTTTTTTGTAGCTTCACAATAAAACAAGCAAATAAAATGTTGTGTTGTATTTGAAATGGCAATCTCTAAACCAGTGGCGCTCAGCCCTGTTCCTGGAGATCGACCTTCCTGCAAAGTTCAGCTCCAACCCTGATCAAACACACCTGAACCAATTAATTAGGACCTGACCAGCACTTGATAATTACAGGCAGGTGTGTTTGATATGGGTTGCAACTGAAATCTGCAGGAAGGTTGATCTCCAGGAACAGGGTTGGTCACGCCTGCTCTAAACCATCTCTATCATTCCCCTTCTCTCAGATGGGATGGCGGACCAAATCAAAGGTTACCATGGGCCAACTTTAGCCAGCGGACCCTAGTTTGGGAATCTCTGGTGTATTTGATACCACAGCGCCATTATTATACATCCTTAAACATCACTGGCTAGATCAGTGATTCAAACACAGCAACAGCAATTAAAGCAAAGCCAACATTAAAGAGACCCCAGGTAAAGCAATCACACTTTAAAAAAGGGATAGTTAACTCAAAAATAAATCTCCCCTTAATGAGCTTAACAATAAAACAAACAAATGAAATGTTATATAGGATAACTTGGCATCATTTCTTCACAGGTTTTGGATCACATCAATGGCGCTGCATAATCTCTGGGGGCCTTGGGATGAGTGGTAGAAGGAACAAGAACGTGATTAGGAAAGCTGGTAAAATATTGTGGTATATCCTGTAAGTTTTTAAGAAGGGACCTCACAGTGACTATGTGGTTTTCTTTTGTGTGCAATTCTTATGTAGCGTCAAGATGATAAAAGTAATTTTGTAATACAGGGTGTGACAGCAACGAAAGTTCAATGTGTTATGTGCAAAAAACAAGAAGCTTCACTGCTTATCTCTCCTTACCTGCAACAGCTATTTTATCACGTTTTTGCCAAGTCACAAGAACTACTGTAGTTACAACATTAGCAAGGGTCAAACTGAACGTATTTCCAAAAAAGGAATTCATGCTAGAACTGAGAAACCCTGTATTCAGAAGAGTATATACAGCGAAGTCTCTGAGTAAT